GTTGTGTTTTCTGCATTTGCATAAGTCACTACCATTAGTACTAATAGTTAAGAAACGGTATGTTTTTGTTGAAAAACACAAACATTAGCAAAACCGCTCTGAAAACACAGTACATACAGGTTTTTATTTTAGGTCAAATTGAAAACAAGCTGCGCAGAGAAAGTCAAATATTTTGCAATATTTAAAGTACAATAATAATATAGAAGCGCATACAATACTTACTACAGAACTTATATTGATTAATTGGTCATATAATGACCAGATATCATTTGGAGCAGGGTGGTCCGTTCTTGATTTTCAGCAACTTTAATTTCAAGACCTTCGTCTATGTTTAATGCATTCAACTCACCGATCAATAAAGTAAAAGCTTTCTCAGCCATTGTCCTACTTGTAAAAATTTTGTTTTTAAATGTGGGATGAAACGAGTTTTACTTGATACCTTCTGATAAATGTTAGGAATTTTAATATTCAAGAAGTATTTTCTGCTTGGTATTGTATACCTTGGCTCCAAAACTGTATTAACCTTTTGAAGCCATGATTTTCTACTATACTTACTAGTTAGTTATCTGTGCATATCATTTCAAAAATAAACCTTGTAGTTTTTATTGCCTTTGGATATGTAGATGTGAGAGGCCAGGTCTTTGCAAACACTTGGTGTATTGTCAGTTTTTTAGGAGATGAAGATCTAGGCTTCATTTTACAGAACTAAATGTAGAAGTAGAGCTTTTAGTATTGATCTCCGCATCCCCAGACTTAGGCCTGAAACTTGTGAATACGGATGTAAGTGCAGTAGATCGAGGTTTTCTTGGTATGGTCATAGGAGTTTCAAAATCAGAGTAAGGACTGGATTTAGATGATGGTCCTGCTGTAGAGATATCCTCGCATACATCAAAATTGATAACACTAGCTTTATCCTGTTTCTGATTTTTGATATCAGATTTATAAAAAGTTTTTAAATATTTTAGAATTTTCAATGTTGTGTATGATTGAGAAACTCTGTCACCACCCCCGGATATAACTTTGCAAAAATTGCATATTGCGGAGTTGGTGTCATAAAATTGAAGGCAAAATAGTCTCATACCTCGCTATTCTTACTTTTCGGCATGATAATGATACAATATATATTCTGTAATAAAAGCATTATTTATATTAATAAAAAATAATAATACTAACTTATAAAAAAACAAGCAAATAAGATTATTGTACTGTTAGTTATCGTTGGTTCAATTAAAATTTTGTGGCAGTATTTTGCGCGTTAGTAACGTTAACTTCTATTAAGGTTTTCCTTTACAGTTACTCGACTTACTTCAACAATGATATCAAGGTAGCTTAACCCCTTTAACTAATAAATCCTCTAAAAACTAAAATAATTTTTCCGATATATAAATTAATATGCTTAAAACAGCAGTTACGAAGTAAATAAAATAAACATAATTAAAATAGGAATTTTAACAGCAGCTACGAAGTAAATAAAATAAACATAATTAAAATAGGAATTTTAACAGCAGTTACGAAGTAAATAAAATAAACATAATTAAAATAGGAATTTTAACACAAATTTCTGTCAGCATGAGTTTGAGTCTAACGTTTACTCAACATCCAACTTTTTTTAAAATCCTAACTAATCGGTTTTAGAAGCAGCTACAAATAAGATATAAAATTGCATTTAAGTTTTAAAAGTATTAAAACTTGATTTTCATGATTTTTGGCCATTTTTTCCTTTGTTAGGCTCTATTGTGTATTGTAACATAAAAAAATTCGTAGAAATATAATTGGAAGGTTATTTTAGTAATGTTGATATTTCACTTAATTGTTTTTCTATGGGAGCAAGAAAAGGATGGGAAAAATAATCACGTTAGCATGCGTAGTTTTTCTTCAGGCAAATTAAAACTTATACACTGCATGCTCACGTGTATATTTTTTTCCTTTTTTTCGTTCCGATAGAAAAAAGGATGAGTGGAATTTCAAATAAACATGACTTACGGTCAAATGCGCATAATTTCAAAAGGATTTTATATGCTGATATAAATTTTATAATTTAGTGAAACATAAACCAAAAGCCATAAATATATAAGTTACTGGATGCGGCATAGGCGTGCCCAGCCATATATTTTTTGATTAGTTTTTGAAGCCGATCATTCGTTGAAAAAGGGACGCAGAGTGAGGCAAAAAGTTAATATACAATTTATTTTTAACATGTATATTAACTTTGAGGCAAAAAGTTAATAAACATTTAAATATTAATGAACTTATTTAAATTCATTAATATTTAAATGTTTATTAACTTAAATCCAAAATTCATTATGTTGACTGATATATTCTATATGGTTAAGTTTTTAGACTGATGATTTAAGTCTATTAACAGTTTATTAGTATCACGTTATCGAGAGACCTAAAAATCCTAAAAGACCTAAAAATATATATTTATGTATATTATAATTAATTGGTATACCCAACATATAATAAGAATTTAAATTTTTAATTTATTTTCTAAGGATTCCCCCCCCCCCCCCCTCTCCTCAATTATTTATTCCTCTGCTAGCGATTCGTTATAGCATTGACCTTAGACAAAAACAATATAGTTTTCTTGAACTTTAATTACTTATATCTGTTCATAAGATTATGCATTGCACTTGAGATTTTTTTTAATAATTAGTTTAACTTTTTCTCAATCACATATAAAAAGTACTATGCTTTGTATGGCTTTACTTATGTTTTTAAGTGTTTTCAGAGTTTCAGAGAAAAGTTATGTTCAGAGTTTCAGAGTATCAGAGAAAAGTTATGTTCCAACTTGCTGAAATAAAAAACTTGTTGATCAACAAGTCTCCTGATGAACGATCCAGAAGAAAATTTTAAACAATGTAAAAGTTCAGAGGAACTTAATGTTTTAGAAAAAACAATTGCTTGTGGCGGGATAGCTCAGATGGTTAGAGCGTTAAAGGAAAAGTGAAAACCCGGCCTGTTGAACGATACAAGTTCAAATCCCGACACCGTCAACTCAGCGCTTGAGTAGTACTTCGTACGCAAAAATGTTGGTCAATAACGGACGCTACTTTGGATTAGTCTTAATGACTATTTGTGGTTGTTCCTACGCTAAGCCAACAATATCTTCGGATATAAGAACATTGTATAGAAAAATAATGGATGAAAACTCAAATAAATAAAATAAAAAATGATGGGGGATTCAATAAATGAAATAAATTCAATACAATCCTACAGTTAAATAGTACTTTTGTATGATATATTATTATATATATATATATATATATATATATATATATATATATATATATATATATACATATATATATATATACATATATATATATATATATATATATATATATATATATATATATATATATATATATATATATATATATATATATATATATATATATATATTATTTAATCTTTTATGTTATTGTCTTTTTTTTTTAAATATCTTGAACAGTTTTGATGCTTCTATTGATGAAGATAATATTATCTTTATTGGTTTGTAGATAAAACATTTATCATTAATGGGCGGTAAAAATCCAGCTAAGATATTTTACTCATATAAGTTACCAGTTTAACTTTTTATTTTTATACTGAAATGGTCTCTATTTTTCAGAAGATAGATCATCATTTTGGTTTGTGTTTTATTTTTCTGTAATTTGAATTTAGCCTTTGATGGTCTAATAAACCTTTGATGGTCTAATAAACTTTTGATGGTCTAACAAATATCTAAGATATAGTCAATATAATAAAATTCCTAAGCATTAATTTCGAAGCTAATGAAATATATTTTGTATACTTAGAGTGACAAGAAGTAAGAATGGTATTAAGAAAAAGATTAAACTTAAAGAGCTGATAAATCTATCTAATCCTATCAAAAGTATAAACATTAGCTTATTATTGTATTCAATTATTTTTATTCAAAATTGTTATTTTTTTAGCTTTTGTGCATTTCTAGTCATTGTCACATTGTAATAGCACTGATTTTGGGATGTTGTTGAATTTTTCTTATTCAATTTAATAGATACAGTTTTAAAGTCTAATAAAAACGTGACTAAAGCAGAAGCAATGCAACTTATAGGGAGTATAGTTAAGTATTTTTTCAGAGAGTATCATCTAATATTGATTAACGGTTATTGAATTCAATTATAATTGAAGTTGTATTTTTTGTATTTTTTATAATTTAAGTTACATTTTTTGTAACTTTTTAATATATATTTACAATATATTATCTATAATACTTTATATTTTTGTAATTTTGTTAAGATCTAAAAAAGATCGGCAATTGCATATGCCAAAAAAAAGCAATTTTCTGTAAATTTTTAACTTGAACATCATTTTTTTAAACCCTTATTTTATTAAAATACAATTAAAACTTAATAAAATGAGCTAAAAAAACGTCCCAAATACTTTCAGTTAAAACCAACCTATGGACGTCTCATGAATATTAATAAGTCTTTGGAACCGTCTAAATAAAACGTCTTACGGACGTCTGTAAAAAACGGACGTTTGTAAAAGACGTTCCAAAGCCTTTGGACGTCCCCATCTGAAGCCAACTAACGACGTTTTACGGACGAGAAATCGGACGTTTCATGGATGTCCTTAAAATTTCCGTGTGCACGCTCGGTCTATTTCATGTTGTTTCAAATAAAAGCCTTTTTGTTGATGTAACTTCACCGGCTTAGATATATATTATTTCCCTGCTTACTGGGAATTGGTATCGGTGGTTTCAGTCTTTAAGAATGAACACTTCTATAATATTAAATTTAAAAATTTAATGAACTTTAAAGTTTCATGAATTATATTTTCATTTTACTGATAAATTTTTAAATATTCCTTGACTTGTTTTGAATATTGAATAAATAATAATCGAATACTAAAAAATTTAAACTAATCAATTCGTAAAATTTAACTTTTTATTAGTTTATTTAGTTTAGTTTTTAAAAGTCATCATTAGAAACTATACTTCATTAGAGTTTCGTTGTGGCTTTTGTGTTAAATAGAAAAACTTACGAGGTTACTAATAAAACAAGAAACAAATAAAAAAAAATTGCAGAAAAAAGAAAAGAGAAAAAACAAAACAAAAAAACTTAAAGACGGCAAGCTAAAGTTTGACAGCATGGTAATTGATCATTTATTTTTTGTTGTACAAAATAGAATCAAATTTTATATTTAATAATATCTTGTTAAATTCAATGTCTCCAATAAAATTAAAATTAAAAAAAATTAATAACGAGTTTATTTAGTTTATGGTTATATCTATTTTATAACCTTAAGCATTTTTAGATTTTCTAAAACTTGAAAAATATTTTTTCCTATGTAAAATTATATTCACTTAAAACTGACAAATAAGGTTTTAAACACCGGTATTGGAATGGTGGCTTCGGCAGGTAGCAGGTACCAAAGGTATTTAAAATACGGGGTTAAATTTGTTAATTTATAAATCTTAATTTTATTATATTTTCTTTGCAATATTCTTGGAAATCATATATTCTATTGCCAGACACTAAGTAAAGTGGCAACCCTTAACCAGACACCTTAAAATTACAATAAGTTTTAATTTTGCTTACGTTTAGTATAAAAGTTGAATTTTGTACAGGTTACTTGGGTTACTATTAGATGTTTCCTTATATGCCAGACACTTTCTACACTTCTAATTTCTAGGCAGACACCTTTAAACTGCAATAAATTGTAACTTGTTACTTAGGTAAAATTCAGAAATATCCATATATTCTTGAAAAGTTGAAGGATGAAATTCTATTGATTGTAGAGTTTATTCTATTGATTGTATATATATATATATATATATATATATATATATATATATATATATATATATATATATATATATATATATATATATATATATATATATATATATATATATATATATATATATATATATATATATATATATATATATATATATATATATATATATATATATATATGCGTGTGTATGCGTATGTAATTCTATAAGTATATGTATTTGTATATGTATATGTAATAATATAAATGTAGTTTTGTATGTATGTAATATGTGTATATATACACATATTACATACATATTGCAGACATATATGTCTATGTGTTTACTTGTGTTCATACAAATTTTTCTATATGCACATATGATGTTATGTATGTACATACACGTAAGTGACAAGTATGACTTTCAGAACTAACCTACTTGCCTAAAAAAAAAAAGTAGGTAAGTTTTGCCTCTATATCTAAGATTTTTTAGTACTAACTTATCCTCTGGATCCGTCACTGCCTACCATATTTTAATTAATTTAATAAAAACTTCAAAAACTATTTTTAGTAACAAGAAACTATTTTGTATGAGTTTACATCAAATATTATTGACGCATCTAAGGTTAGCAGTTCTCGTGACAAGACCTTTAAGTCTTCTTTGAGTTTTCGCAATCTTTATTTTCATTTAACTTCTTTTTTTATTTTAATATAATCTTCAATTGTAAATATTTTCCTTTCTATATATTTCTAAATTATATAGAAAGGAAAATAGTTTTTCTTTTTTTTTTTATTACATTAAAATTTTTTTATAAAAATTTTAATGTAATAAAAAAACAAAGAAAAAAAAACATTTCTTTTATAGTAGAGTTTTTTTTATAACATTAATCATTTCTACAAAGAAAATTTTATTATAATTTGCTTCTACACTACCTCCACATATGAGAAGTATATTTTTGCGTTAGGGTGGATATAAAAAAAATAGTTAACACACCCTATTATCAAAGTGTTTTATACTTATAAATATTTGTATCTTTATAACAAAAAGGAAATCTGTTATTATAAATAAAAATCATGTTTGAAAACTTTACAACATATACTAGTGGTGAATACATTAATTTTAGAAAAGAGATGTGTGCCATCCCCCAACATAATGAAATAAAAATAAAAGAGATAAAATGTTAGCCATTCCAGACGATTTTTGTATAATTTAAATATTTAAGTATAACTAAAGTCATTGTATAGAACTTGGCCTGACTTAAAAAATAATGGGTTATTCGGCCTTTGATGTTGAGCGGATCAAAAGTTATTGAACTTTTTGTAGTGGAAAAATTAATAATTTTTTTGTGTTATGAGGAAAAAACTTAGGGTTACACTATGCAAATATGCATAAAGGAATCATGGAGTCCAAAAAATACATCATTTGAAAGCTATTGCATAATTTACAGACCTGTCAGTGAAATTATTGCATAAGTTACAAACAGGCCCGGATTTTTTGGGGCCCCAAAAATCTTGGGAATTTTAAGATTCTATTTATGTTTGATGCTCACTAACTGTTCTGGAGAACGAAGTTTTTCAATATTAAGACTTACGAAAAAATATTTAAGATCAACTATGATACAAAATACATTAAATAATTTTTCATTGCTATCAAATAATGTAGGTTTGATGAAAAAAATTGATTTCGACGAATTGATTGAAAAATGAAAAAAGTTAATGTAAAAAAAATAGTAGAAAAAAGTTAATGTAAAATTTTAAATAGTGATCCAGTTTTTATTAAATCTCTCGGGATCATACAGAATTTTTTATTTTACAGACTGAAGTGTTTTTACTTATTTAATTATGTAATGAAGAACAAAAATGAAAAAAATTGATTTCGTACAATTTACAGACCGGTCAGTAAACTACTGCAAAAGGGTTGCACAAGCCAATTGGACAATTTGACTTTGAATATATTTCATAATTTCCAACTGTTATCACATTTGACTTGAAATTTTTGATAGGGATGCAAAACTATAAAAAAATTAAATGCCATAATTTTTTTTTACATCTGTCGAGATTATCTAGAATCGTTAATTTTACAGACTGAAGTGTTTTTATTTACTTACCTAGTCTTAAAGAATAAATTTTCAAGTTATATTATAAAATCTCCATGCAAATATGCATATACTGTAGAATCTAATTAATTCATCTGTTTTAAACTATTGTTTAATATACAGACCGATTAGTAAATTACTACATAAGGGCATTAAAATCTATCTGAATAATTCAGAATTACCTATTTAACAGACAGAAGATTCTTTAATAAGGTTAAAATTTAAACTTAAATGAAAATAACTTACAGCAATAAAACTTCATGAAACTTTGAGTACTTACAACATCAATAGAAGGTGTAACAGCAAAAACTCTACCAAAAAATGTAATAAAATTTTTTAAAACACAGATACACAATAATTTTTAGAAAAATATTTGTTAATTCGTTTTAAAAATTAAAAATTAAAAAAATATATAAATTAACAATTAAAACTAAATAAATATAAAATAAGAAATTTATTCTTTGAGACCTTTTATGTGAATTATTGATAACACATAAGATAAAAAAAACAAAAAACATTGAAAAAAAAATGTTGTTTTTCTAAAACTTATTTCTTGGATTTTAGTGAACGATTAGAAGTAGCAAGTTTCAGTAACAAAACAACCTAATTATTATTTTTAATGATAGACACCAGCGAGAAGGTAAGCCAATTTGTCTATCAGCACAAAACATCACTACAATAACATCATAATTATTAAAAAAACAGACCCCGATACACTAAACAAGGTTAACTTCTATCCTCAACCCTTTACCGTTTCTAACCAACATTAATGATCATCCTTAAAAGTTCACAGATGAATAGCAACAACAAATGATCATACTGAAAAGCTGACAGGTGGCTCTACTTGTTGATGACATAATAAACATATAGATTTTAATCATCTTGTTTGGAGCTGACCTGTTAACTGTTGTTACAGAAAGGTTTGAAATTATTATTAGATAGAGGTTGTGAGACATATTCTATTACTCTGAATGATATGGTGCATCTGGCAAAGTCTTTAAAAAGTCTTTGCAATCCTATTGATATTTCTATATTGATGAATCGCAACATTTTTACTGTCTTTTACTCTACATCGTCTCTGATTATTTTTTCGTACTGACCTCTGATAGAAACCTTATATACAAATCATTGCTAAGTTAGTATTAGTATACGATAATATAGTATTTTATTGTTCTTAGGTGCCCTAAAAAATCTTATTTGTCTAGTTTTTTTCCTAGAACATCAGTTTTTTGTAATAATCTCCATTCATCTTGTTTTCCTGATTCATATAATTTGCAATCTTTTAAGTTGTCTTTTAATCGTTACCTTGCTTTATAATCTTTATCTTCGATCTTCCAGTAACTACCAATTCTAAAAGTGGCTTTTTAAGGGACTTAGCAAGCATTACTTTAGTTATAGGGTATTTAAAATAGTTTGTAAAGATTCTGACAGTTTGGCCATGTCAAGTCATGTTCATCTTTTTCTCTGCAAATTTGTAAAAAGTAGGTATTTCTTAATACAAAATTCGGATGTTTAAGGGAAACAATACCACCTTCAATATTTAAAAATTGCAATATATTTTTGGAAGTATCAATCGATTTTTCCAGCAATAATTTGTAAGCTAAAATTAAATGTAAACCTAAATAAAAGTAACTCAAAACAAAGAAAACAAGGGATGGATCAATAAAATTTCCTTTCAATAAATAAAAGTATTAAAATGCTTGTGCTTATGTTGAAAATTAAAGGAAGTAAGCCTAATTAATTCCAAATTGTATTATAACTTATGAACATATAAGTTCTTAATTATATTAAAGGCTTATTAAGGCCTAATACATCCTCAATAAGCCATTAATAAAGACTAATAAGGCTATATATAAGGATTAATTTAAGGATGTGAATAACTAATTTAAGGTCCTTAAATTAATTATTATTAATGATGAAAAGAACAAAGGTTTTTATACCATTTAAAGCAGTTATATATTATTTTCATAAAATGAACCGTCCAAGTTAGCTACTATTTAAGTTTCAATATAAGTGAAAAAAAAAAATCATCAAATTTCATAAAGCAAACGCAAAAATTTATTTATAATTTAGTAAACAAACGCAAAAATCACAACAAAAAACGTCATAAAATACGCGAAAAAAAAAGGATATAATGCATACATAATTTTAAAACAAAAATTCAAAAAATCATATCTTCAAGAAAATAAATACTTGATTAAGAGAGAGAGGAAGAGCTTTACTTTCCATTTGGACAGAAAACCTTAAAAAAAATTTTTTTTATTTAACTAAACCGACCTTAAAGTTTTTAAACGTTGAGAACTAAAAATTTTTCTATAAATTTCAAAAAAGTTCTCCTTTCCATTCGATTCATCATCTTTTTTTTAATCTATATGGAAATTTTTATGCAAATTGGATGTGTTTTAGTACTTAGAAAATCTTACCTTCAAAGCTACTTTTGAAAAATCGTGTCCGCGGCAACTTTTTTTGGCAAAAATGGTCTCAAGACATTTATAATATTTAAGTGAAGCCATATGAAACATAATACTTTTTACATATGGCTGGAAAGAGGTTGAGTAACACTAACTGATACAAAAAACCTTAAGGTGCTTGCTTAACTGTACAAAAAGATTTAAGAATGTAAAGTTTAAGAAAATTCGGTGGTTTTGGTTAAACGTCAAATGTTTTCGTAGCGCCGTGGAATTGCTAAAAATGTGATTATTCATAGAAATTAATTTAATATAATATAAAATCAATAAAAAAAATTATCATAAAACTACATTAAAATACTCTTGATATTGTCCAAACATTACCACATTACTCTTTCTGCCAGTATTTCTTACCACATTTCTGCCAGTTTTTACCATTACCATCTTTCTGCCAGTAATCAGTAGTTAGTGCCATTTATTTACTGATATATGAAACTTAAAAATAAAATAAAAAATTCAATTTTCTAAAAATAACTGTTATTATGTCTCCTTTCGTGTACTATTTGATGTATTTTATACGAAACAATATTTTTCTATCACTAAATTTGATTATATTATCATATTTATATATGCAAATTAATCAACTGTCATCCCCCCCCACCCCTACTTCTTCCAAGTTTAATGCGGAAAGATTAAGTTTAGGTACAATAGTGCTCCACAAAATAGGGCATGTGCTTCAACAAAAAATTGATGAAATTCGGCAGATGCAAAGAAAATTTATAAACTTAAATTAGAGAAAAGATAAAAAAAAAAAGAGCAAATCTTCAACATTTACTGAATGCACAAAGTACATCAAAAATATTGTTATAAATAAATCCACTTAAAAAAATCTAAAGGTTAATAAAGTTTAATTACTCTAGTAATTGTATCATGATATGGATGATATAGAAATTAAGGCACTTAAAGATAATCAAGATAGCGTTATCAAAACTATATCATCTATTAGTAGGGATGTACCGGAATTCCGTTCCGGCCGGAATTTGTGACTTGAGGTCATTCCTGTTCCGGCCGGAATTATAATCTTTGAGGCCGGAATGGCGGAAATTAGTTTTTACCTTCTTCTTTTAAGACATGTGACACAGACTGTGTAAATTAAAACAGAAAATTATTGTCCTATAGTGCAATCAAAAACTAAAGATTAACTTAGGTAAAAAATGCAAAATTCTTAACAAACCCAATGTAATTTTATTTGGAATTATGTAATCAATTATGTAAGGATTTCTAGAAGTTTAGGAATATTGCGGTGCAATCCAATTTTGGGTAACAAAATAGTTTTTTTTTTTCATCAAACATATTACCTGCATCTAAGAATAGTCTTATTTTAAATGTTACGTTATAAATATATATTTTGTAGCCACGATGCTGCATTAAAAATGAGGCGCAGGTTTTCACTTTCAATCTTGAAGGTAAAAAAGTTTAGTTTAGCAGCACCAACTGATTAGATGCGGTGTATACAATTTGCACGGCCACGACAAGCAGCTTGAACGTCAGTTTGTAAGAAGTTATATGGAGCCAAGATCCTAGGGGCGTTAGAAGACGAAAAAAATTCATTAAAGCGCTACTAAATATTATAAAAATATATTTTTTCTGTGTTTTTTTTTGTTTCTAAATTCAATAATAGTCTTTAACCTTTTTAATAATTCTTGTTGCCTTGAGACAACAAAATAATAGAACCCGTTCTTAAGTCAAAATTAAAAATAATGTGAATACTTAAGAGAAGAAAGTTGTTAATTTTTTTCTTATTATTGAACGTGTAAACTATTGGAGCACAACAATAAGATCACTTCTGAGTTTTCCTTGATCTCTATTTGGGTGTAAACTTATGGATTAGCCGGAGATGTCTCCTCCGCTGGCATGGTGGAATCAAAGAAGAATGGTGAAAACTTAGTGATGAAATCAAAACAGATCAAAACAGCCCACTAAAGCTATTACATTACTTGAAAGATTTTGTTGGCAAAAATTACCATTAATAATAAGATTGATTCGACAATCAAACAAGCTTTAGGGCCTGAGGTAGCACCTTAGCGTTAAATTTTGCTTCATGTTCTAGATGCAACATTGTTTTACTTATTACAAAATATGGTATTTTGAGGTCAACTGTATATTTTATGGGATTTTGAGGTCAACTGTATATTTTATGGGATTTTGAGGTCAAGTGTATTTTTTATAGGGTTTGAAGTCAGCTATATATTTTGGAAGTTAATTTTTACTGTGTCTACAATGCATTTTTTTTTTACAGTTTCTTGTATTATTATTTCAACAGGTCTGCTCTATTTAAATAAGTGAACGATAATTTTTACAGAGTTTTTTTATAGAAAAAAATTATCTCAAAAAAGTTGCTTATTGCCAAAAAAATGAAACTCAGATACAAGCCTGCAAGCCCTTAACCTCTCATGGGAATTACAGAATGATTTCATACGTTAATGCTGTGTGATCTTTAAAGGAAGTTAGAAAAGCGTGATAATTTACGGTCATTACCGGTGGGAACCGGAAGTGTCGCACACTGAACAAATCACTTTTATTATTTGCTTTGTGCACTTTAATTTCAAAAAAATATCTGGTAGGCAAAAGAACACTTTCTTCGTGTTGAGGACACGGACTAAAAAAATGGGAGTGAGTATTGCTAATTTAATTTGTGATGTATTAATAAAAGTAAGACTTGATTTTCAAAAATGCCGTAACCAAGATTGCAAAAACAGCTAAACATGGCTAGAATTTATATTGGGACGCAAACTCTAAATTTAAAAAAGAATCTATTAGCCTTATATAATCCTTATAACGCCCATAACTTTAATTTAGCTGGATATGTAGTTTAATATGAGATAATGACTTTTCTAATAATAATGAGATAATGACTTTTCTAAGTAATATACATGTCTATGTAACATACATGTAGCATTCAAACTCTTTACGTATTCTTTAACTGCATTTCGTCTAGGTGGAAGGTTTTGCAAGAATTGGCAGGAATCTATTTTTACAAGCTTTTAGATACAAGATGATTAGCTCAGATTGTTGCTATTAAATCAAATGCAAAATGACAATCAGTAATTATTGCTGCCTCCAATCTAACTATAGAGAATCTTAACCTTACCGCTGCCGTGCTAAATCAAGCCCTTGATAAAGCTTTTAAAATCATTTGGAGCTAAAACTCTCCTAGTTGTTGACGAAGTTAGTAGTTTGTTTCAGTCAAAGAAAATGATGACAAAGTTGTTCTCATTTAACAGTTAATTAGTGATCTTGACCGCATCCTTTCATCATGGATTAATTTTGAAGCTAACGCAAAGGCTGTTCCAGATCTTTTAGGATTTGAAACTAGATTTTTAACAAAACAAAAGAAGTGAGCAATACGATTAAACAATGAACCTGCAAATGCAGCTTTTCGCTATTAGAACCCCGAGAAAAAGTTCGAAATAAATATCTTCAACGTCACCATTTATCATTTTATTTCTAAAATAAAATCTAGAATTATAAAAACTGTTTCTTAAAGATTCTGAATTATCTGGTTGAATAATTAGTAACCAGGTTATTTAGAGATTAAATCTCATGAATTGGTGCAAAACAAAAAAAAAAATAAAAAAATAAAAAAAATGAGTAGCCTCTTAGACTGTAGTGGCCACCTCGGGCCTTGGGGAGGTGAATAATTAGAAAAAAAAAAAAGTGATGTCTAAAGATAGTGATGTCAAAGAAGTCGTCTTTGACATCACTATGGATGAAATTATGCATCTTAATCTTTAACGGAGAAAAATATATGCATGTGCTATTATTTTGTCTTTTTAAATTCTTTTTAAAAAGACAAAATAAAAAGGCGTCATGAAAGCTTTCAGCGGCCGTGACTCGTAGAACAAACAGCAAGAAAATCTAAAATAGCTTTTGCACCTAAAAAATTAAGATAAAAAAACAAGCAAACCTAATACGTCTGCGGAAGAGTTAGAATAGCCTCTATTTGTAAATAACATGAATAATAAAACAGAAATTGAAAAAAGTGTTAATTTTCTTAAAAACTAGATAATTTATTCAGTTCTAATGCTTTGTGTAGTTCTCTCTTTTTTTTTTCTAAAAAACTAAAAATCTCTTAACATTTAACTTTTTATAACTCCGTAATTTATAACGAATTTCATATTTCTGTCCTTTTTTTTTTTCTAAACTTTTACTTTTAACTTTTCATAAACCTATTTTTAACTTTCTAAAGCTTTATTTTTTCTACCGTAATTTATTTGTATATAATAACTACTTGTTCTTGTCGTTCTTGCTGAACAATAATATTTGTTTTATTTAAATTTATAGAAATTTAACAATTAATTAACATTAAATTTAATTGAATTTATTTACGCAGTTTTAGCACAACAGTTAGAACTTTTTCTTTATTTTTTATTTAATATCTATAATGAATTTTTAGTTTTATATGTTATTTTTCAGGTTAAAAGATAATTAAGTAAATAACTTGCCATATTGCAAAAATTAAATATATAACTTTTAAACATTTCTAATTTTTAAATTTTGATTTTCTTATAGAAAAATGTGCTGCTACTAATCATATTTTATTGTGGAGTTAAATCAGGTATCTGTATTTTGATCATTAAATTTTTATTATTGAAATAAAAGTTAATATAATTTTTGTAATACATAAGTTTATAATAAAATAAACTCACTCACAATTTCACACGTTCAAAAAAACATTTTTAGACGTGCATAGGAAATGCTTATTTTATGCTTTTTATGCCTTAAAGAAATATTGATAGAGTGCTCAATGTTCTTAAATGAGCAGAACAATAATAAATTAGTAGAAAATTACTTAAAAATTTTTCAAAAATTTTTCATTTTATAAAAGTTTTTCATTTCGGACGAGTCTTGATAGACGAAACACAGTATTACATGTTTATAAACTTAGTAAATTGTCAAAGTAAACATTTACGATGATAAGTTTATAAACTTGCTATCATCATTTTATGAAAGAATTTTATGTAAAAGTAAAACATAATTTTATAAAAAACTTTAAAAGAATATAACACAACTTTGTTGTAATTTAGTGACCAACAACTTTTAAATGAGAAACTACAAGAAAAAAACTAATCAAGCTAACTGGGACAAATATGGCATGAAAAATGCTATTACAGCAGTAAAGTTGAAGCAGATGTCTTTAAGAAAAGCTTGCATAAACTTTAGTTTGCCAAAAGATTCACTGCATCGGCCAGTTAAAAAGGCTTCATTTGAAAGTAGTTTACATACTAATTTACTTGGAAGATTTAGAAAAGTGCTTTCTGATAACCAAGAACAAGATCTAAATAAGTATATTAAAGATATGGACAATTCATTTTATGGTCTCTCAATGATGGATATTAGATTGATAGTATTTGAGTTCTGCAAAAAAGTTTCAATTCCAAATCCTTTTAACAAAGATAGTAAATCAGCAGGAGAAGACTTTGTGCGAGGCTTTTTAAAAGGCCATCCTGATTTATTACAAAGAAAACCAGAAGCAATTTCTATAAACAGAGCATTTGGTTTGAAAGAAGATAATATTAAAATCTATTTTAGTAATTTAGAGAGTTTGTTAAATAAATATCACTTTGAGCCACATCAAGTTTTTAATTGTGATGAGTCTGGGTTGTCATGCGTCCATAAGCCATTAAAAGTTATTTCATCTACGGTGTGTTTCATCAATAACAAGTGGGGGAAAAGAAATCACAACAATAATTTTATGTGCATGTAACTCTGTTGGTTATTATGTACCACCCATAATGATATTTAGACGCAAAAAAAAGAAACTGTTACTCACAGATAATGCTCCAGTTGAAACTATTAAAGGATTTTCAGAAAATGGCTTTGTTAATACTGATTTATTTCTTGAATATATACAACATTTTGTTAAACATGTACGATGCACCTTGATCAACAAAGTTTTACTTATATTTGACGGTCATCGTTCTTATACCAAAAGCTTAAAAATTACAGACTTTGCTCTTGACAATGGATTGTTTTTTCTATCGCTATCACCACACACAACTCATAAACTTTAACAATTGGACCGTGGATTTTTAAAGCCGTTGAAAACCTTTTTTAATCAAGCATATTTAAGAGCTGCTAAAATGGAAAATGCTACTTTAAGTTTTAGAGCAACTGGAATTGTCCCATTTAATCGGCATTTGTTAGAAAATGAATAACCAAGGACATCTTGAGTGATAATAATAGTATCAGGTTATCAATACCTCATGAAATTCATTTTAAAAGCAATAACAAAGAAAGTGAAATTTTACAGCACCCAGAGTCGACTACCTTTGATTTAATGAGTCATGATAAATTAAAATAGAAAGAATCATTTTAGTTTAAATAATTTATTATATAAAAATCAGTTTGGGTTTAAAAAGAATAACTCAACTGAGCATGCAATTATTCAGTTAATGCGTGAAATTTCCAATTCTTTTGAAAAATCTCAATTTACATTAGGAATTTTTATCGATCTTTCAAAAGCATTTGATACTATCGATCATGATATTTTGCTTTATAAACTTAGTTATTACGGAATAAATGAAAGAGTAATTAAATGGTTTCAAAGTTATTTATCGAACAGAAAACAATTTGTTTCTTGTAATGAACTTAATCATAAACAGTTTTTAAATGTTTCCTGTGGTGTTCCGCAAGGTTCCATCTTAGGCCCTCTTTTATTTTTAATATATATCAATAACTTGCATAAAGCATCAAATCTTCTAAGTGTTATGTTTGCTGATGACACAAACTTATTTCTATCTAACAGTGACATCTCCTTTTCTCCATGATGAACAAAGAACTTCAAAACATATCTAAATGGTTTAAAAGTAACAAATTAACATTAAATATAACCAAGACAAAATGGATTTTTTTCCACCCGTTTTCCAAAAAACGTTTTCTACCTCTAAATCTACCAAAGTTTGCTCGAAAGTATATTTATATAAGACGCGTACTCATTTAGACAAAAATAATTAGATAACTAAGCTTTATAACTCTTTTATCCACAGTTATATAAGTTATGGAGTTATAGCTTGGGGTAGCACTGATCAAAGCAAGTTACAATGTCTCTATCGCCGTCAGAAACATGCGATCCGTTTAATTGATTCTGCGGATCGGTTCGCACATTCCTCAATATTTTTTAATCAAATGAAAATATTAGATATATATATATAAACTAAACGTATATACAAATTTATCTCCTTTAATTTCTAAAGATCTTTTTATTTTGAAACCATTAAGCAAGTTTAACATGAGGAATAATAATTATTTAAATAAACCATTTTGTCGAACAAAATTCAATCAATTTTGTATCACTTATCGTGCAGCTCATCTCTGGAACAAAATTATTTTGCCTAACTTCGATTTACCCTTAACTTATCCTGTTTTTAAAAATAAATTAAAAGACCACATTCTTTCTATTGAAAATATCTTATAATATTTTTAATTTATTTTGTGATAAAAAACAAAATAATAATAATTTTTATTGTCGTGTATGTTCAAGTTATTGTCATATATGTTCAAATTTTGTTTTATACTTGTTTACAATTTATTTTCATTTATGTAAATACGATTTCTTGTTTTTATATGATTTTTTACGTACTTTTATTGTAAAAAGGCGTTTTTATAATATGTTACGTACTCTCTTTTGGGTCATTCCGGGGCAAACGGTCCAATTTCCGAAATCTTTCCCGCTCGACCATCTCCAATTTGAATAAAATTTTGTCAATATGTTGTTAAACATGTTTCATAAACATTGCCAAATTTTTAGATCAAAATATTTATTAATTTGGGTTTTGTGGTACTTTTGTAAGGCTTAACCAAACTTCAATATCAGTCTGTAGCTAAAAACTGCATTTTTGGGGCCTTATATTTTCGTAATGAACGAGTAATATATCTTAAAAACGTGGTTTCTTAATAAACCGAAGATGGAGATTACAAAAAAATTATTTTAAGTTTCATATTATGCCTTCATTTTAGTCTATGCTTCACCAAATACCGTCATAAATTTAACTCCATAAACTTTTTCTGTTTTTTGTAGGATCATATCTCAAGAACAAAAGATTTTTTAGCATTGTTACTTTGTTAAAAGGCTCTACATACTATCATAGTGATATAGATTAAAAATTAGCTTTTTTATAAACGTCTTTTCTGAGTTATTTTGAAAGCAAAATAGCGAAAAAAGTGAAATACCCTAAAATAACGTGTGTTTGAAGCCCTAAAAATCAATGTGGGAAAATTTTTGTTTTGTTTTTTAAATTGCATAATTGGAAAGAGCTTACTTCATACTTCTAGAAACAATAAAAATTATTTTGGAGAGATTTTCCTATGAACTAAAAAAATCTAGTTTTTATGAGCTAAGTTAGGTCTACAAAGTCTTTATTTAAAAAATATTTTAAAAAACGATATTAAGGTCCGTAAATTAACTATAGCCATGTAGAGCTAATTTTAGTAAGTAAGTATATTTTTATTCTACGGACAAATTTCACTAAATTAATTTCAAATATTTAAGTTTTTCACAAACATCTCATATTAGAAGGCAAAAGTTAGAATTGAATTTAAGAATGAGTTATTTTTAACTTATCCTGACATGTCTGTTGATCAAAACTTAAGTGTTTGTTGTATTGGAAAGTTTGACGGAAGTTTATGTCATTTAAGTACTTATTTACGAAAAAAGGTTTTTATTGATTTTTGCTCAGAACTTTTGAACGAAGAACAGAGTATGATTGTCAGACGAACTTATAATTTGATTAACAATATTACTTTAATTTGTTTCCACCACAAATCACTGCTGTTGGTTAAATACACTCATTTGCAGCACTATTGTTTAAACCCTTTTGTTGTGGCCAATCCTTGCTCAGTTAAGAGGTTGAGATGTATTGACCTAGAGAATGCAGACTGTCTTTCAAAGTTAACAAATAAAGTTATTTGTCCAGATCAAAAATTGTGTTCGAATTGCCGCAAAGCTTATTCAACCACAAAGTCTTCAAGTGAAAAAATTGACGACATTGGTGACATAGATGATATATTTTGTTCAACTGACACTATTAATACCTTTCTGAGATTGGAGTATCACCTTTAAGAAAACGTGTTAGTAAGAGAGATCATGGTAGTTATGCAGTGGTGTACACTGGACTTTTAGATGTTTGAGTTTTGACACTTACACACATTTTGCAAACTCCAAACCTTTGTATTTTCATGCTTATGTAAAATGAGAATGTTTTGCAAAAAATTGCGGTGATTGGAGCTTGGGGACAAAAAAACCCCAATTTTCGGGCCCACCCAGCCCTTAACGTGGAGCAACAAGTTAATAAAATAATTTTTTTAGTATTTTTATCTAAGTTTATAATCATCAACAAATTTCAAATTTCATTCAATAATTTCTTATTTTTCAAAAACTATGACCATATAAAGTTTTAACCCCCCTCAATTTGAGAGGGCTGTAAACTTTGTAGGGTCATAAAAACTAAAAACTAAGAGGTTATTGCATGAAGTTTGAAATTCGTTGATGAATATAAACTTAGATAAAAATACTAAAGAAATTGTTTTATTAACTTGTTTCTCCCACGTTAATGGCTG